AGGAGGAGGAGGAGGAGGAGGAGGAGGGAGGAGGAGGAGGAGGAGGGGAGGAGGAGGGAGGAGGAGGAGGAGGAGGAGGAGGAGGAGGAGGAGGAGTAGGAGGAGGGGGGAGAAGGAGGAGGAGGAGGAGGAGGAGGAGGAGGAGGAGGAGGAGGGGGGGAGGAGGAGGAGGAGGAGGAGGAGGAGAAGGAGGAGGAGGAGGAGGAGGAGGAGGAGGGAAGAAGAAGAAGAAGAAGAAGAAGAAGAAGAAGAAGACGCAGAAGAAGAAGAAGCAGAAGAAGAAGAAGAAGAGGACGAGGAGTGCAGGTGGAGGAAGAAAGATGGGGAAGAAGCAGGGTCCTCGTCACTGTGTACACCTCGCGGCCCCTGACCACGTGGAAATTGTCCCCGTGGCCCGGCGTGTCGAGGATGTAGCCCTGCCCGGACTTGACGATGTCGCCGAGCTGTGTGTGCACCTCCATGAGCCTGGTGGGGGAGCTGGGCGGAGCCGTCAGCCCGTCGACCAGATCGGTCAGGGTGGCGACGCCGTCCCACGCAGCGTTGATGCCCTCCATCATGTACATGGCCTCGGCCCAAGTGATCTGCACGACGGGGTAGGCCAGCCGCAGCGTGCGAGAGATGCTGACGTCGCTCGCCTCGGCGATCGCGTTCAGCTCCGCGACCGTCTTGAACTTCATCATGACGCCCGCGTCCGCGATCGGGTCACAGATCTTCCAAGACAAGTTGCTCGTACTGGCGAGGTTGTTCCATCCGCCCAGCTGGAAGCCCATGATGTTGGTGGCGTAATCGCCGCCGTTCAGGGTGTCGCAATCGTTCGGCACGTAGCACCACTGGGAAGTGGCCAGAGGGTCAGCTGGGAAGTTGTTCGCGGGGTGGAGGTTGTCATCAGCTGTGCTCGTCGCCAGCAGGTCGACGTTGACGCAGGAGTTGTCCTTCAGGTTCTTGAAGTAATCGTTGCACACCTTGTGGGGCAGGCCCGCGATGGGCTCGGTGGCGGCATAGGCGGCACTGAAGCCGTACTTGGACAGGAAGTGGAGCTCCTTCCCGCGGCCGCAGGCGGCGAGCTGGTCGTAGTACACTCCCGCCCACTGCAGGCAGTCGCAGGAGCCCCGCCTGGTGGCCGCCTGGGCCGACTGCTCCGCCAAGGCCCGCGCGAGCGCAAGGCAGGCCAAGACGGAAGCAGCCTTGGAAAGCATGGCGTGCAGGGCTGAACCCAAACTTTGTCTTTCGTTGTCGTTTTGTTTTCGTTTTCCCTCGTTTTGTCTCCAATCCGCCTTTACCGCAAAACCGGATCGAAACGAGAACTGCCCACGAGATCGCCAAAACACCGTTTCGGTCCAGCCCTGATGGCGTGGATGTTGTGGACTTGTGCAGTATCCAGGCGCTGCGATAGACAGCGCAGAAGCCGCTTGAGCCCCAAAACGGTATACGGATGGCCACGCCGTCGCTGCTGGTGACGATGACAAGGGTGAAGGTGAAGGGACGTGCCCGCTGCCTGGGCTGCGGGACGCGCAGAATCGGATGCAGCCGGGCGGAACCAAGGGCAGCCCTATTCGGGGCGAACTTGTTGCCGTGGGGATACATATTAGACGGGACAAGGAGGAGGAGAAGGAGGAGGAGGAGGAGGAGGAAGAATAGGATGAGGATGAGAAAGAGACGACGACATCGATGACGAGGAGACGGAAAGAGATAGGAGAGCCAGGGGGAGCAAAATGGGGGAAACAAAGAGAAGACGAACGATGATCACGACGAGCAGCGAGAGGGAGGCAAACGAAGCTGAAGTGAATGAACGAGAGGGAGGAAAAGGAAGAGAAGGAGGAGGAGGAAGAGGAGGAGCAGGAGGAGGGGGAACAGGAGAAGGACGAGTGTAGACCCAAGATTCATCAACGATATTGTAATAAACCCTCCAAGTCCCCACTCCGTAGGCCCCTTGACAAGGATTCCCTCACTGAAGGAAGTGCCCCGTTGGAAGACAGCAATCTGAAAATCATGAACTGTGCCAGAACACCATTCCCAACGCCGCGAATCACCGTTCCTGTTGCGCCTTGACGATTCTGAATCGCGCCAGAAAACCATTCATCCTGGGACTTCGACACCACGAATCAACGTAACTGTTGCGCCCTGACAATCCGACGTCGTGCCAAAACGCTATCTCTGGGACAGTAACCATGAAAAGTCTTGAAACTGATTAAACTCGAATGCGCGCGGCGATACGGCGAGAACCATATGTTGAAAAGGAACCGCCCTCCATCCGTGAAGCTCTTGCACAGTTTAGAACGAATGTGCGCGGCGCTAAGAAGAAGACGGCCGCATTTTGAAAGCGGCCCGCCATCCATCCGTGAAGCTCTTGCAACATTTCGGCTTGAGGATCAAAGTGGTGAGGAAATCTCAGGCGAGACGCCCGGCCCGCCCTACCGACACGCTCGGGATGCGACAGGGAAGACAGATTTACAAGAAAAAAGACTGGAGCCGGAGCCGGAGCCGGAGAAGAAGGAGTAGGGTATGATCGCTCCCGTACGGAGTGAGGGGCAAGCCGTGAACGCCACAGGAGACGTCCGCCAACAGCGACCGCGCCATTGTGCAGTCAGTGATATCCGCAGACCCCCGCTTGCCGGCAGTGAAAAGGCGTGTTAGACATTTGGCTGTCCCCCCCTCTCCTTTCCTCTCACACCCCTGCAAAGCGCGCCGCTTGGGTGTCACAACTGCTACACTACACACTTCCCCTCTGCCCCGCCGCCCAGCCTCACACCTCTGCGCCTGGCAACAGTTCCAGGCAGGGAGGTGAGGCAGTCCCCCCCTTCACCCATTCATCCTTTTCCCCTCCCCTTGGGTTCAAAGCCCCGCTCGTGACAGGTCCCCCCCTTTTCACCCTTCACCCTTTTCCCCCTTCACCCTTTTCCCCCCCCCTTGGGTTCAAAGCCCCGCTCGTGACAGGCGGGGTGAGGGGCGGCGGAGAGGCGAGTGCACGAGCTCCCGGGCGCAGCTCCCGGGCCCTCGGGGGTCTCCAAGTCCATACGCCGCGGCATGCAAGACGCCCTCCAGCACGGCTCCAGAGATGTCTCCGCGATGCCCTCTGAGATGGCCCAACGCGCCAGAGAGGCCTCCAGAGCATCCAAGATGGCCGCAGGTCGGCCCAAGAGGCCTTAAGGACGCCGAAAGAAGGCCCGAGCGGACCCACAATATGGCCTCAAAAGGCTAGAAACATTGACATCCCTTTGGGTTGAAATGGCTTCCGCATTCTCGCCACTCCGGGGTCTGATCCCGGAGACGGCCCGAGAAGCTCTCCAGATTGGCCTAAGACAGCCGAAGAGGCCCCCAAGAGGGCCCAGAGATAGGCCAGGCGGGCCCCAAGATTGCGCAAGAGGCCCCAAGACTGCCAAGGGGCCCTCAAGAGGGTCCCCAAAGAGGGGCCAGACAAGCCGAAAAGAGTGAACTCGTAGGGGCCCCGGGAGCCCGCCCCAAAACAAGATGGCCCCCAAGAGATCCGCGAGAAGCCCTCAGATGGCCCCCAAATCATCAAGGAACGTTGAGAATGCTCCCAGGTCGCCTCCGAGGCCTCCAGTCGGGCGTTGGCAGAACTGGGTTTCGTGGGACCTGGTTTAGTGATGTGCACTGGGGGACGCCCCTCCCCGCACATGAGAGGTAGAAAGCGGCCAGGAAGCGGAGAGGAGAGATGGGGGCCTCCTCCTCCCTCCTCCTCATCCCTCCCCCTCCTCCCTCCTCCTCCTTCCTCCTCCTCCTCCTCCTCCTCCTCCTTCTCCTCCTCCTCCTCATCCTCCTTCCCCTCCTCCTCCTCATCCTCCTCCTCCTCATCATCAGCATCATCATCAGCATCTGCATCAGCATCTGCATCATCATCATAATCATCATCATCATCATCATCATCATCATCATCATCATCATCATCATCATCATCAGCATCATCATCATCATCATCAGCAGCAGCAGCAGCAGCATCAGCATCACCATCAGCACCAACATCACCATCATCATCATCAGCATCATCATCAGCATCATCATCACAACAACATCATCAGCAGTATCATCATCATCATCACCATCATCATCATCATCATCATCATCATCATCATCAGCATCGTCAACATCACCAGCATCAGCATCAGCATCAGCAGCATCACCAGAATCAGCATCAGCATCATCATCCTCATTATCCTCATCATCACCACCACCATCATCATCATCATCATCATCATCATCATCAGCACCATCAGCACCATCAGCACCATAACCATCAATAACCATCACCATCACCATCACCATCATCATCATCAGCATCATCATCATCATCAGCATCATCAGCATCAGCATCAGCATCAGCATCATCATCATCATCATCATCATCATCAGCCTCATCCTCATCCTCATCCTCATCCTCATCCTCATCCTCATCCTCATCCTCATCCTCATCCTCATCCTCATCCTCATCCTCATCCTCATCCTCATCCTCCTCCATCATCCTCATCTCATCATCTCATCATCATCATCATCATCATCATCATCATCATCATCATCATCATCATCATCATCATCATCATCATCATCATCATCATCATCATCATCATCATCATCATCATCATCATCATCATCATCATCATCATCATCATCATCATCATCATCATCATCATCATCATCATCATCATCATCATCATCATCATCATCATCATCTCATCATCCTCCCTCCCTCCCTCCCTCCCTCCCTCCCTCCCTCCCTCCTTCCCTCCTTCGCTGCCTCCTCCTCCCCCATCCTCTCTCCTCCTCCTCCTCCCTCCTCCCTCCTCCCTCCTCCTCCTCCTCATCCTCCTCTCCTCCTCCTCCTCTTCCTCTTCCTCCTCCTTCTCTCCTGCTCCTGCTCCTGCTCTCCTGCTCCTGCTCCTACTGTTCCTGCTCCAGCTCCTGCTCTCCTCCTCCTCCTCCTCTTCCTCCTCCTCCTCCTCCTCCTCCTCCTCCTAGTCCTCATCATCTCCCTCCTCCTCGGGCGCCTCCTCCACGGTGCCGAACTCCGAGAAGATGCTCGTCAAGTCCTCCTGCGTCAAGCTCTCCCGCGGGAGTCCGCCTTGCGCCGCGAGGGGACTTGGCAAGGGCGTGACCCCAAGAACGTAGTAGGGAGAGGAAGTCCGGGGGGCGAGGATGGGCAGGAGGACAAAGATGAAGAGGAGCAGCAGCAACATGGGGACGAACAAGAGGAGGGCCAGAAGGGAAAGGAGGCACAGCGTTCCCCCCGAAGTCTATCCTCCGCATGGCGGGCCTCGAAGAGCAACCACTCGTCGACTCGCCGCCGCAGCGCCCTTGCGTCTAACCACGTTTTCTGGCAGCCGCGCAGAGGGAGCCTGATGCTGAAGCTAGGAGACTGTCGGCCTCTGCGAAGACACGAGGGCGGCCGGGACGACCGCCCTTGACGGCGACGAGACGAATTTAATGACAAGGAGCGGTAGCGAAACTGCAGTCGCCGAGGGGATCCAACGGAAAAAAGGGACGACTCCGAGGGCGAGAGCGTAGGCACTAAACCTCTTTATCTCCACCAAGAATTTAAAATTGTGGCTACGGGATCGAGGAAACGCGAAGACCACGGTCATATTGTCTGACAAAAAAACAACTGCCTAACGCAACTACCGCAGCGGGTCCTGGAGAGGCGCTGGGCGGCCTTGACAAGGACCCGGGCCTCAATAATCAGGATGCCTTCCTCCAAAGCTCAGACCCCCTCCCGGACCGTCTTCCAAGCGGACCCACGGAGAAGCGGCCAATGGACCTCGGGGAATTCCGCCACGATCTCCCAGTCGTTTTCGAGACCACGCTCGGGGCGGCTAGGAGGGTCTACCCCGGGCTCATCCCGCTCGAGCAAGTTACTTCTCCAGACTCCGCCCTCGTCACGGAAGAGGCGGGCCGAGGTCGAGGCAAAGGCGCGGGCTGAGTGAGGACCGACGCGTCGGAAACGAGACCGCTCACGGACACCGCCGACGCTGGCGACATCGGCGGGCTCCCAGATCCCCTGGGCGACTACCCAGCCAGCGAGGCTGGCATCGGTTTCAAGGACGCACGGCCCCCAAAAAAAACAAAACTCGCCGGAAGGCCTCAAGCTCCTGGACGACCTCGGGCCACAGGGGGGCACCACCAGGCACTGGGTTGAGAGGTTGAGATAAACTTGATCATAGACCGCATGGAAGATCATTGCATTCTTTCTCGCAGCCAGACCGCAAAACGCGCAATGTCCAAACACTTTTTCGAGAGCCCCCCCCCGCTGCATCGGCGACGTGCCAGCAGTCCTGAGAGGCCGCGCTCAAGCTTCCAAAAAAGAGCGGACGCGATGCCTGACCGAAGGTTCTGCCCGCCCAGCTCCGCCCCGAGCGCCTCGCCGAAGCCAGCGCGCGTCTCCATCTAGTGCAAGGCGAAGCCGACGGGCCCGAAGAAGTCACTCTACTCCGACACCATCTGTTCGCTGAGGGCCCGATCGTCGGACACGGCCCCCAAATTGTCGACGTACACGCACGTTCCAGCAGCCCCTCTCTCGGCCGCCCTCATGACGACAGCACTGGCCTGGTCCTGGATCTGACACTGACCCCGACTGGCAGGTGAGGATCCTGTCCTCGTCGGCGGTCTGGGCGACGCAGAGCGACCAGGTGGAACCCATCGGAAGCGCCGCCATGTAGGGCCTTACCTCAGCGCTAGGCTCAGTCCGTCTGGCAGGCCTAGCACCTCCAGGCCACTGAAGACATGGGCGGGCGCGCCAGGCCAGCAGCAGAAGCGCCCCGGCTCCCCCAGCACCCTCACGCGGTATAAACAATCCTTCACGTCGGCGGTCGCCACGCACACCGCGGAAGCGCCCAGCAACCGCTGGCCCTCGGCGGAGGTGGGCGACGCGCCCGGCGGCAGCTCGACCACGAGTCGGCCAAAGCCCTCGCGGCTCAACAGCTTCGCACCTGGCGGGGCTCTGAAGCGCTCGCTGCTACATCGAGCGCCCGCTATCATCCTCAGGGCCCCGCTAGATTCTGCTACGGAAAAATGCCCACTGACTTGGCAGGCCGAGCCATCACTCCGAGAAGCCCTGTCACCGCTAGCTCACGGACAATCAGGCGGTAGGACTTCGGATTCCTTTTTGGCGCGGGGCCCATGTACAATCTCGGCATGCCGTCGAAATCAACCGCCTCCGGCTCCAACCTCATGCGCTTATGGTTCTCCTCCAAGAAAGAAAAGCCCTCGGCACTCGCGATATCTTCGATGCAGCGGCAACTGTGCACGCCGTCGGGGAGCGAGACCTCGCCGACAAGGTGGGAGACCAGGTTCCTTGGGGCGGAGTCCGTATCGTACACGGACTGCCCTCGGAGCAGCTCTCGCAAAGCTGCCTCCGCCCTCGGCATCGCTGCTGGCGCTGCGGCCTGTCGCCGACGAGCTTCGCGAGGCAGGTGGTGCTGAAGGGCTGCGTGCTTGTCCAGGGTCGCCGCGCGGCTGCTCGCACCCTTGAAGCCCGCCAGCCAGCTCAGGCAGAAGAGAGCGCGACTCACCAATTCGACTGCACGTTGCCGACGGCGCGCTCTGCGCCGAGACTCTCTCTCCCGCGAGCCTTCTCGCCGACGCTAGCCAGCAAGGGTGTAGGGAAAATGTTCTCTTTCGAAATCGGACGGCGGCAACGGGGAAGCCCGGGCCGAAGTGTCTCGCCAATCAGAGGGGGGCGCATTCCCCTGGCGAAGCCGTCTCGGTCATGATTGCACCGGCGGCGGGGGACTCGTGCCTCTGCCGCCAGCGTTGCCGCGGCCGCGCACTCTGCCTCCTCCGCCGCTGGCCCCTGCTGAGCCAGCGCCCCCGCCAGCGTCGGCCCCCGCGGCGGCGGCGACCGAACGTGCGTCGACCGCCTCCGCTTTCTTCATCGACTGGTCGACGTTCCACCCTCCGCGTGACATGGCTGCGCAGCGACGGGGCCCGAAGCTCGTCCGCCTCGCCGAGAGGAGCCAGATGCCTGGCGTTTGCGACGGAGGGGGCCCCGCCGCGCATGTAGGCTTCCACGATGGCATTGAGACGCCGCACCACCACCTCAAGCGAGACCTCCGAGGTCACCTGGTCGAAACAGGCCGCCTCCTCGAGGGCCTACACCAGCGGGAGCAGCTCATGGGCCACCGTGTCGGTCGACGCGATGTGCACGTCACGCAAGAAATTCTCGAACCGGGCCCTGGGCGTGCCCGCAGTCTGGTAAATCATCTTGCACCTATGGAGACAGGTCAGACCGCCCTCGAGCCTCTGGTGACTCCAGTCGTAGCTCACCGACTCGTTCGAAACCGCCTTGCGGAACTCCTTGAGGCGATCACCCTGGTCGACCCACTCCACCCACAACGTCCGCGTGTCCTCGGCCGCCGCGTCGTCGAGGAAGACCTGGACAGGGGCCGGGGCCGCCGTCGCCGCGCGCACCGGGTCCTCGGCGCCAATCTCGGGACGGTCGCCCCCCCCGGCCGGGCGGCCGTCCTCCAGAGGGGCCAGGGGAAGACCAGGTGCGGCAAGCTGCAGGAGGCTCCGCGGTTCACGAAGGCGATGCGTCTTCCACGCGGCCACAGCGTCCCCGGCCATCGGCTCGACCCGAGGGGCCCGCCCGCGGTGGATCCAGACGGCGTCTCGCCCGACCCCCGGCAGCGTCTGGCCCTCCGGGTCGATCACCGAGCCTGCCCCCAGCGACGGGGTCGGCTCCGCGGGCGCCCGCGCGTCGCCGTCGGCGGGCGGGGTCGGCGCGCCGCCCTCGGCCACCACGGCGCCGCCGCCGCTGGGGCAGGCCCGGGCAGGGCCTGCTTGCCCGCCGGGCGGCGGCCCGGCGCGGCAGGAGGGGACGGCCTCCAGCTGAGCACATCGCAGCCACGCGCCAGCGTGCCCGTGCTCAGCCCCACATCAGCGTGCCCGTGCTCAGCCCCACATGCGTCGGCCAGTCGGCCGCCACCTGGCCTCGAGCCCGGGCCAGGTCGCGGCGCTCGGCAGCCATCCGCCCCAGGTCCGCGAGCGTCGGCCTCCTCTGGAAGCCGCGAAGCTTGCGGCCGTCGCCAGGCAGCGCATCACCCCCGGGCAGCCTGCTGCCTCCCGAGGGCTCGTCGGACGGCGACGAACCCGACAGCAGCTCCTCCCACGCGTCCCCGTCGTACGACAGGACCCAGTACACGTGCTGGTCCTGCCTGGCGCCGCCGACCCTGTGACGAGCAGGCCAAATCACGATCCTCTCGTGGCCCAGGTGCTCGCCCTCGCAGCGGACCCGGCAGCGCGCGTCGACGGGAGGTCGGCGCACCGCGCCTCCCCCGCGGGGAGCGGGGGCAGGGCCGCCCCGACGGGCGCGGCCCAGCGACATGCGGCGTCGTCCGCGGCGGCCGCCGCAGCGCGCGGACACGAAGGCCGCCCTCGGGCCCCGCGCGAGGACGAGGCGGATCAGCAGCACCGTCGGACTGCCCGACGGCCTCCAGCTCTGGGCAGAGCGTCGGCGGCGGAGGCGGCGGCGGCGGCGCCGCCGCCGCCGCCGCCGCGGCGCGCGAGGAGCGCCGCCTCGGCGCGGCGGCCCGCCTCGGCCGCCTCCTCGCAGGCCTGCGCCGCTCCCCGCACCCAGTCGGGGGGCGGGGGCCCAGCTCGGGGGCGGCCAAGAGGGGGGGGTCCAAAAGGGGGGGGTGCAAAGCATGACCGGCGGGATGTGCGCGGCCAAACGGGGGGGCCAGGGACGCAATGAAATAAGAAGAGGCGCCATGAAATCTGGGAAAGTATCATGGCCCACGCCATGATGTCCACCCCCCCCTAGTCATCACCCCCCTCATTGCCGCCCCCGACCAGCGGTCGCGGCCCGGGGCCTCCGGGCCACCCCCCCCCCTGGGGCGCCAGCGCCGCCACCGGGGCAAGGCTGGCGGCGGCGCGGGCACTCCGGGCGCGAGCACCGTGTGCCCCCGCGCGGCCGCCCGTCCTTCGCCGAAGACAGGCTGTGGATAGAGAGAGAGAGAGAGAGAGAGAGAGCGCGGGAGGGGGAGCAGAATGAGAGACAGAAACACCGATGGTTAAACCCTTGGATCCTGAGCAGGTGGTCCAAACACGCGGGGACATCACTCCGCTCAAGTAGTGCAGCTCAAGCCGTTCAAGGACATACAGGATGATCTCGTCCAGGTCGACGGCGCTACCAAGGAGCCCGAGACGCTCCAGCAAGGTTGAAGGACGCGAGAAACCAACCACCTCGACAAGAAGACTCCTGAGTACCGGGCACACCAGATAATATCTGAGCTGGGCCTTCCTGTGCCGGCAGCCAAAGCGGCACTGGAGACGGCAGGTGGGTACCCAGTACGTATGCGGCGTGACGTGATACACCCATTGGCGATAGTCTTGGGATAGGCGGACTGGAGCCGACCACCTTCGATCTGGCCTTGGCTTTGAGGGTGGAAGCGCGAGCCTTGATCAGCTGCAGGTCCCATGACGAGCAAGGAGGAGGAGGAGGAGGAGGAGGAGGAGGAGGAGGAGGAGGAGGAGGAGGAAGAGGAGGAGGAGGAGGAGGACGAGGAGGAGGAGGAGGAGAAGAGGAGAAGACGGAGGAGGAGGAGGAGGAGGAGGAGGAAGAGGAGAAGGAGGAGGAGAGGGAGGGAGGAAGGGAGGGAGGGAGGGGGGAAGGAGGGTGAGGGGGGGTGGGACGATGAGGAGGAGTAATCAGGAGAAGTGGGAGGGAACCAGGAGGGGCGAGGAGGAGGAGGAGGAGGATGTAGAGAAAGCAGGGGCCGCACGGGATGGGGGGGGGTAGCGCGAGGCACACGCGGAGCGCCACGCTCTGCGCCACCGTTCTTCGACGGTCCCGTGGAGGCCTCCGCAGAGACCTCCGGGGCCCTCCGGAAGCCACAGAGGGGACCACAGTCCAGCAGCCCCTCGACCCTGGACCATCCGCCCTGAGGCGCCCCGAGCTTGCCCGGCGTCTCGTCACGAGCGTGGGGGGTATACAGCCTCCCGACGGGGGTCCACCTCGCCTCGTCGGCGCTCTGGCCGCCGCGCCGCTGGACGCCGCGCCGCTGGACGCGTGCTGTCTCCGCGCCGGGTGTCGCTTCGAGGCTGTCAGGGCGGCGCCCTCTGGACGAGAAACGCAGGACACCCCTGGAGAGAGCGAGAGAGAGAGAGAGAGAGAGGATGAGAGAGAGAGAGAAATAACAACAAAGCAGCACAAAAAACAGGCTGCGGGCTGGTGGGCGCGCCGATGAAGAGCTTCCTGGCGTCGAGGACCTTCAGCACCTCGCTGGTGCACCGCAACTGTCCCATGAGGCAAAAGCTGAGGCGCACAATGCATCGGGCAATCATGGGCAAGGGGCTCCTGAGGGGAACACGCGGGGCACCCTGCGCTTCCGCTTCCTCCACTTCCTACCTGCCCTGACTCTTCTTCCACGGCCGCTGCACTCTCCACGCCTCGATCCGTCCACCGCTGCCCTCCGGCTCGACTCCAACGGGCCCCGCGCCCCATGACCGGCCGCAAGAGAGCAGGAGAAGGAGAAGCACTGTCGGCAAGGCTCTAGTAGGGCCTGTCCCTCCACAGGAGGAATATTCAAACATAGTCAAACAAAAAACCGATGGGGACGACTCTTCGACTATGTTGGGCAATTTGGTGGCCTTTTTGGGCAATGTTTGAACTTTCGTCCAAAAATCCCCCTGCTGGAGCACCTGCCCGAGCACTTTCTACTATTTTGGGACTCTTTTGAGCCAGTGTTGGGCAATTCTTGAACTTTCGTCCAAAACTACCCCTGTAGGAGCACCTGCCCGAGCTAATAGGGGGCCACATGCGAACCCTACCCCTACCCCCCCCAATTTCTGGGGGGGAGGGTGGGGTTCACTTCGTTCGGGAGCTCTCGAGCGAAGTGAACCCCACCCTCCCCCTCAGAAATCGTGGGGGGTAGGGGTAGGGTTCGCATGTGGCCCCCTAGCTAAGGCAAGGCCCCGAGGCTGCATGCGGACAGCCCCCGGAGGTGGCCCCCCGCTGGCCTCCGCAGGCCTCCCCAGGGGCCCGCAACCCAGGACGGTCTCAGCACGCCGACCTCGTGGCGCGGAGTGCCCCGCAAAGCCTTCGGCGCGGGCGGCGCTCCTCCTCCTCCTCCTCACTCCTCCTCCTCCTCCTCCTCCTCCTCCTACCCTCCTCCTCCTCCTCCTCCTCCTCCTCCTCCTCCTCCTCTTCCTCCTCCTCCTCCTCCTCCCTCCTCCCTCCTCCTCCTCCTCCCTCCTCCTCCTCCTCCCTCCTCCTCCTCCGCCTCCTCCTCCTCCGCCTCCTCCGCCTCCTCCTCCTCCTCCTCCTCCGCCTCCTCTTGTCCTCCTCCTCCTCCTCCTCCTCCTCCATCCTCCCTCCTCCTCCCTCCGTCCTCCTCCTCCGCCGCCTCCTCCTCCTCCCCTCCCTCCTCCTCCTCCGCCTCCTCCTCCTCCGCCTCCTCCTCCTCCTCCAACCCTCCGCCTCCTGCTCCTCCTCCGCCTCCTGCTCCTCCGCCTCCTCCTCCTCCTACTCCTCCTCCTGTCCTCCTCCTGTCCTCCTCCTGTCCTCCTCCTCCTCCTCATCCTCCTCCTCCGCCTCCTCCTCCTCCGCCTCCTCCTCCTCCTCCGCCTCCTCCTCGTCCTCCTCCCGGCGCCGTGTGTGCGCCCCTCAGGCCTTCCGAGCCAGCCAGGGGCCTGAGACGGGGCCCAGGTTTAGCTCGGGCATGTCCTCCTACAGGGGGATGTTGGACGAGAAATATTAAATAGCCCCAAAATAGTCAAACATAGTCGAAAAAGCGTCGCCAGACTAATTTTTGACTATTTTTGAAGATTCCTCCTGTAGAGGGACAGGCCCGACTTAAGCCCAAGCAGGCAGAGGGTGCTCGGCCTGGACAAGCCAGCAGCGGCGCCGCCGCGAGCGAGGGAGGCGAGACGCGGACCTGCCGCAGGAAGAGGAGTGCTTCTCGCCCGAGGTCGCGCTTCCTGCCCCTCCTCCTCCTCCTCCTCCTCCTCCTCCCCCTCCTCTCCCTCCTCCTGCTCCTCCATCTCTTCCTCCTCCTCCTCCTCCTCCTCCTCCTCCTCCTCCTCCTCCTCCTCGGGCGCTCTCCGTCGCCGCGGTCAGACCTGTGTCCAGCCATGCCCTCCGAGGGCCTCCGTGGCCTCACAAGGACGCAGAGGCCTCCGAAGGCCTTCGAAGGCCTTCGGAGGCCTCCGGAGGCGCCTGGAGGCTCTCCGAGGGCCCTCGAGGCTTGATGCCTTCCTGCCCGGGCCCTCTTCCGACCGCCGGGGCGGCGTCGGGGCGGCCTCCTCCAGACTCGGCGCGGTCGACGGGGGCTGCGAGGCTGGCGCGCGGGGAGCGGTCATCCCTCCTCCTTCTTCTGCTTCTCCTCCTTCCTCTCCTCCTCCTCCTCCTCCTGCTCTTCCTTCTCCTCCTCCTCATCCTCCTCCTCCTTCTCCACCTCAGCGTTCCTCCTCCTTCACCTCCTCCTCCTCCTTCTCCTCCTCCTCCAAAACAAGAAGGGGAGAGAGGATGAGGATGAGCAGATGTGGACGGACGAAGAAAGCAGGAGGAGGAGAAGGAGGAGGATGAGGAGGAGGCGGAGGGAGGGGTACGACGAGCAAGGTGGCGGAGGAGGCAAGGAGAAAATGAGAGGGCATATTAGAAGAAGGGAACCGGAAGGGAAGATGCACCTTCTCCGTCTTCCCCGTCTTTCATCATCCGTCCTTCGCTCTCCACCCTGCCTTCTCCTTCCTCTTTGCTCTCGCCTCTCAAACGCAAGGGTCCACCCCATGCCACACGGTGTCGCCTGCCAGCGAGGATAGCAACCGCTCACTTCGCGGTGCTTTTGGTTACTGTCGCGCGCCCCGGGGATCGCGACGGAAGTCGTTTCTTTTGAGGCCACCGCTAGAAGCACAAGAACACATTGACTGTCGAATCAGCTCCCCTGATTCTTTCGACACAGTACAGGCCAGCAACTTGAGCCTTGCCAGTCTGTCGGAATGGCATAAGCCCTCAAAGATACCAATACGGTGCTGCGCGGCCTCATATTCTCGTAATGGGTACCAAGATTGGTCTCTGTCTCCCTCTGTCGCCATCGTCATAGAATCCGCCGACCCTGTCGGCGTGTGGAAGAGGCTGTTCCTTTTGACTCGTCGGGTCTCGTCGTCGTCGTCGTCGTCGTCGTCGTCGTCGTCGTCGTGGTCGTCGTCGTCGTCGTCGTCGTCGTCGTCGTCGTCGTCGTCGTCGTCGTGGTCGTTGTCGTCGTCGTCGTCGTCGCGGTCGTCGTCGTCGTCGTCGTCGTCGTCGTCGTCGTCGTCGTCGTCGTCGTCGTTGTCGTCGTCATCGTCGTCGTCGCTGTCGTCGTCGCCTTCGCCGCTCCCCCACTTTCACCGAGCACTTCTCCTCGAGCGCACCAGCCACAGCGAAATAGAGCAACGTTGTAGTTGAGTCGAAGGGAAGCCCCTTCCCTTTGATCCCTTCCCGCCAGGGGAAGGGGGGGTCCGGGGGGGGTCGCCACCCGGATACGACTCCCCCCCAAGGCGGTTCGGGGGCCCAGAAAAGACCCAAGACGCGGCAAAAGTGCCCCAAGATGCCCCCAAGACGGTCCTCAAGTAGCCTCCAGACTGCTCAAAAGGTTTCCAAAACGCCTCAAGAAGCCTCCAAGAGGACTTCCAATGGGGCCCCAAGGGGCAAGAATCATCGATTCCCCGGAGGTTTTTGAAAGATTCGGCATTCTCGCCTCGTCAGCTTCCCAACTTTCGAAGACAGGCCAAGAGGCCCCCAAGACCGCCCCCACATGGCCCAAGGGGCCTCCAAGAGGGCCCCAAAACGACCCAAGAGGGCCCCAAGACCGCCCAAGAGGCCTCCAAGACAGCCGAAGAGGCCCCCAAGACGGCTCCAAGAGGGAGCCCAGACGGGGGACCCGAACGGTCATTTCGAGCCCTCGGCCTGAGAAGCTACCAGGAGGCACCCAGAGGCCCCCAAGAAGCCCCCCAAGAGGCTCCCAAGCAGCCTCCAAGAGTCTCCCAAGAGGCCCCCCAACTACCCCCAAGAGGCCCCTGAGAGCGCTCGTCGTCGTCGTCGTCGTCGTCGTCGTCGTCGTCGTCGTCGTCGTCGTCGTCGTCGTCGCCATTCAGGGTCGGCGGCACTGGCCGTAAGGCCTTCGAAATACCATGTAATACCATATACAGTCATCGTCATGATCACCATCAGCACCAAAAGCGACAGCAGAGTCAGCGTCTGCGCCTGCACCGTCACCATCACACCCATCAGCACCATCGTCTCCCTGATTAGAAAAAATTCAAGTTCAGCATCGCAATCTTCGTCATCGCTGCCGTCGCAATCGCCAATCTCATCGGTGCCGTCGTGATCGATGCCACGGCCGCCGTGATCACAATATTTGCCGTCGTCGCCGTCATCACAGGCATCGCCACTATCTTCATGAACAACTCTGTGACTCTCATCATGGTCCCATGCCTCCGACGTCGCATGTTCTTGTTGTGAACTGGGCCCCTTGAGAAATCGACCCCTTCCCCAGGACCGTTCTTCGGCCCGAATCATCTGCTCGACAACCCCGCAGAGGCCAACGATTGAGAAAAACTGGCCGTCGCGCTCTCGTCCGCAAAGCCCACAGGCCTCGGGCTGCCGACGGCATGCCGCCGCCGCCGCGCTTGGAGTGTGCGGCCGCCGCTGCCGCCGCCACGCGCATGCCGCCGCCGCCGCCTCGCCGCGCCGCCGTCGGCGCTGCTGCCGTGATCATCGGCCAGGGCCACCCATGGCAGCCCCCCGAGCCGGCGCCGGTGGACGGCCGCCGCCGCGCGGTGGTCGTCGCTGCCGCCGCCGCAGTGACCGTCGCCGCCGCCGCGCCGCGCCGCGGCCGCCCTCGGCACTGCCGCGGTGATCCGCGCCGCCGCGGCCGCCGCGACGCCGGCGGGGCGGCCGCCGCGCGGCCGCGGGGGGTTATGATGCTCCAACCTACTTTAGCCTTGACCACCAGGAAGAATTTCGCCAATCTACCTTAGCCAACCTACTTTAGCTTTTCTGGGTGCTCGAACAATTATTTCTGGGATGCGGCCCTTCAGTAGGATGAGAACAACAGAAGCCGGGGGGGTCCGCCTGCCCGCCCGGTGCCCAAGGCAGTCCACGGCTTCCGCGTCCGCGGGGGCGGGGTCGCCATCGCGAGCGGCGGGGGGGGGGGGCCCTGCGCCGTGGGGGCGTGCGCGAGGGGCGGCGTGCCGCCCCCCTGGCAGCCAGCCCTGGGGCAGCGGCGGGGGGCGGAGAGGCAGGGCGGAGGAGAGGCCTGGCATTGCGAAGGCGGCAGCAGCGCTGTCGGCGTCGCACTGTCCGACGCATGCCCCGAGGGCGATCGCGAGGCCCGCCAGCGTCTCTTCACTTGCCGCGCGGCCAAAGGACAGAGGGAAGGTTGGGGGGCCGGAACTTCTTTCGGGCAGGCGTCGGTCGCGCGCCAGCAGGGGGGTGGAAGGGCAAGGGGGGCAAGGACGGCGGAAGGGCGGAGGAGCACGGAGAGGAAGAGCAGAGGAGGGGAGGAGAGAGGAAGGCAAGCACAGGATCAGAGAGGGACGAGGAGGGTGAGGACGGTGGAGGCGGACAGGGAGGGAGCTGGAGGAGGAACGCAGGGACAAGAACATCAGTTGGAGCCAGAGGATGACAGATGACAAAATAAGAAACGCCTCCGACATGAATGCTCTACTGCCTGCTCGATGAAGGGGGTCCGCGACACGGCTGCAAATGATGAATCAGATGGGCGGTGAGCAACCCAACATGCTCGATTGACGCCTTCGTGTGTTAGCCAGCGTGGACACCAAACAATGCGTGATTGCGCTCCGGATGCGTTTTGCATGTTGTGCGCAAGCTATGTTGTGCAACCCATGTGATGCAATTCATTTGCGAGAATTGCGCTCGGCAACTCAAATGCTCGCGCAAATATCCCACCCTCCAACCCGCAACGTGTTGGCAAAACTCGATTGACGTACTGACGCGAGAACCCTTGTCATGCAGATAAAGATGTGATGGTTGCGCTGTCGATGACAGCAATGACGATGACGATGATGATGTTGATGACGACTGTGGGACGATGACGATGACGATGACGACGATGGCGATGAACCTGATGGTAATGATGATAGTGCTGATGATGCTGCTGCTGTTGCTGCTGCTGCTGATGATGATGATGATGATGATGATGATGATGATGATGATGATGATGATGACGGTGGCGATGAGTGATGCCATGATGCTGGTGAGGATGATGAGGAAGTGCGGGCGCGCAGGAATTATGAAATTCTGGCAGCGCGCCGAAATGCTTCGATTACAACTGGCCTTGGACTGGAAGGACTTCGACGTGCGCGCGGAGACGCGCCCGTGCGGCCTGCATCGTATTGTTTTGCGGAGTCGGCGGCTGCGCGATGCTCGTGTGTGTGTGTGTGTGTTGCTTTCGACAGGTGCGCCTGCGGCCCGCACGGCCTCCTCTGGCAAAATGGCAGGAGCCGACGGCTTTGACATGGCCTCAGCGGGTGAGAACGCACAGCGATCTGCATCGACAAAGCCATCATCATTCACAAAACATTGCAGGGCAGTTTTTAATACATGGGATTTTTCCCAACCATCCTGTGGTGTTGGGTCCTCGTTTTGAAGAGACGGTGCCCCGCGTTCCTCTCCTCCTCCTCTCCTCCTCCTCCTCCTCCTCCTCGCCCTCCTCCCTCTTAGGGTTCGCATGCCTCCACACCACCCATCTCGGCACACCCCTCACACGCTTCGTGGCCCCAACGGGAGCTCCACCGAAGGCCCCAGTGGCAGGGTTCGCATGCCTCCCCACCACCCATCTCGGCACACCCCTCACACGTTTCGTGGCCCCATAGGGAGCTCCACCGAAGGCCCCAGTGGCAGGGTTCGCATGCCTCCCCACCACCCATTTCGGCACACCCCTCGCACGTTTCGTGGCCCCATACGGGGGCTCCACCGAAGGCCCCAGTGGCAGGGTTCGCATGCCTCGCCGCCACCCATCTCGGCACACCCTTCACACGTTTCGTGGCCCCATAGGGAGCTCCACCGAAGGCCCCAGTGGCAAGGTTCGCATGCCTCCCCGCCACCCATCTCGGCACACCCCTCACACGTTTCGTGGCCCCATAGGGAGCTCCACCGAAGGCCCCCGTGGCAGGGTTCGCATGCCTCCCCACCACCCATCTCGGCATACCCCTTCACACGTTTCGTGGCCCCATAGGGAGCTCCACCGAAGGCCCCAGTGGCAGGGTTCGCATGCCTCCCCACCACCCATCTCGGCACACCCCTCACACGTTTCGTGGCCCCATAGGGAGCTCCACCGAAGGCCCCAGTGGCAGGGTTCGCATGCCTCACCCATCGGCACACCCCTCCACCGAAGGCCCCAGTGGCAGGGTTCGCACGCACACCCCTCACACGTTTCCCCATAGGGAGCTCCACCGAAGGCCCCAGTGGCAGGGTTCGCATGCCTCCCCCCACCCATTTCGGCACACCCCTCACACGTTTCGTGGCCCCATAGGGAGCTCCACCGAAGGCCCCAGTGGCAAGGTTCGCATGCCTCCCCACCACCCATTTCGGCACACCCCTCACACGTTTCGTGGCCCCATAGGGAGCTCCACCGAAGGCCCCAGTGGCAGGGTCGCATGGCCTCCCCACCACCCATTTCGGCACACCCCTCACACGTTTCGTGGCCCCATAGGGAGCTCCACCGAAGGCCCCAGTGGCAGGGTTCGCATGCCTCCCCACCACCCATCTCGGCACACCCCTCACACGTTTCGTGGCCCCATAGGGAGCTCCACCGAAGGCCCCAGTGGCAGGGTTCGCATGCCTCCCCACCACCATTTCGGCACACCCCTCACACGTTTCGTGGCCCCATAGGGAGCTCCACCGAAGGCCCCAGTGGCAGGGTTCGCATGCCTCCCCACCACCCATTTCGGCACACCCCTCACACGTTTCGTGGCCCCATAGGGAGCTCCACCGAAGGTGGCCCCATAGGGAGCTCCACCGAAGGCCCCAGTGGCTGGTTCGCATGCTCCCCACACCCATCTCGGCACACCCCTCACACGACACCCCTCAAACGTAGGGAGCTCCACCGAAGGCCCAGTGGCAGGGTCGCATGCCTCCCACCACCCATTTCGGCAAACCCTCAACGTTTCGTGGCCATAGGGAGCTCCACGAAGGTTGGTGGCAGGTTCGCATGCCTCCCCACACCCATTCGGCACCCCTCACACGTTTCGTGGCCCCATAGGGACTCCCCAGCTGGCAGGGGTTCATGCCCCCCCACACCACCCATATCGGCACACCTCACACGCTTCGTGGCCCCATAGGGAGCTCCACCGAAGGCCCCAGTGGCAGGGTTCGCATGCCTCCCCACCACCCATTTCGGCACTCCCCAACACCCATTTCGGCACACCCCTCACACGTTTCGTGGCCCCATAGGGATCTCCACCGAAGGTCGGGGGGAGCTTGACACTGGTATCCTTGCGGTACTCGCAGCTGCATATGGTTGGGTCCTTCGCCAGGCTAATTAAAAATATAGGATTTTAATACATGATTAATGTATGAATAAATGTATCCATGAACTCATCGTTGTGTTTAATACTAACTCCCTGCATTTTTCATACGTGATCCGCACGCGGAGCAAATCTTTAAAACGGCACTGTAGCTGCCGCACCCCTGCTGGAGCCAACAGCGCCGGAGCAACGTCAGCACGTGTGCGCACATGCGGCCCGCGTGCTCTCGGCTGCTCGGGAGCGTGGCAGGACGCGCTTCTTCGACCAACGCGCGTGCACCTCGCGGTGCTGTTTGAGAGAGGATGCGGGGGGGAGGTGGGCGGATAGCACGTCGGCCGGCATCGCATGTCGTGAGATTTCGAGCAAGCGACCGTGAATCACGAGGAGTGGGAGTGACTTTGTGATTCACGGTCGCTTGTTTCAGAGAGCGTCGGAGGACAATGGCGGCGCGAAACAAAACGGACAACGAAACGAATCGCGGAATGAACGGGGCAAACAAAACGAAAAACGAAACGTAAACTTGGGAACGCACCAAAACAGAACGAACAACGAAACGCGCACCCCCAAGAAACATTAAAGATTCGAGCGAGTTTAAAACAACAGCGAACAACACAACGGAACATCAACGCAAGACGAACCGAAAACCACGACAAGGGCACACACACCAAGCTAAACAGCCTTGCGCTCGGGCCTTGCAGAGATACAGACACAATGCGCAGAGGGGAGGGACGCATGCTGGCCTCGGCAGGGTGGCACGCTCGAACCCCTGCGGTACAGATTCTATGTAGTGTACGCTGTGTGGTAGCCTTGCTCGCCGCCGCCTCCTCTGCCTGCACGGGGCGGCGCTCGGCACGCTCGATGGACGCATGCTGGCTGGGGGCGCGCTCCTTCGAGGGGAACGCGTGCAAGTGCATGGGTTGCAAGACACTCAACTCTAGATCTCAATACCTTCTCTGCGCGCTCTCGGCCTTCAGGGCTTTCTGGGCACCGGTGCGCCTCTCTAGCGCAGTCGCGGCATCCCCCAAAACATACCGATGGTCTGTCAACTCCGCTGACGGCTCGGGAGGATCTACCCACATGGGGTGCTGCTTGGCCACTTCCATCGTGGCGGTCTTGACTGGGATGGGCTGAGCAGGGAGGTTCGGGGGCTGCTTGAAGGCACCATGGGCCCTCGAATGCTCTGCATGGGCAGGACTCTGACCAGATGTGAGCGGCAGCTGCTGGGAGCCCGCCGACCCCGACGGGGGCGCCTCCGAAGACGAGGAAGAGGGGCAGCAGCAGTCGCGCCAGCGTCCGGTGCTGTGAGACCCGCAGCGCGGGCAGAGCCAGGCGCCCCGAGTCTTGGGGCCACGGCGGCATCGAGCCGGGAGGCGCCATGGTGGGCCCATGGCCGAGCGATGCTGCCGAAGGAGCTGGGCTGCGGAGCGAGCCCGGAGAGGAGCCCAGGCGTGGCTCCTGGCCCGGCGAGCACGGCAGTGCCAGGCTCAGGCCGGGCGTGGCCTCCTACAGGGGGGCCTTGGGACGAAGAATGAGAGGTGCCCCAAACCAATGTGCAAGAGTAGTCAGACGTGCGAGAAAGATCGCCCCCTGCCTTTTCTTCTCTCTCTTCTTGAGCTTTCCTCCCGTAGGGGGACATGCCCGACGG